CCTGTGTCTCCTCAAGTTGCTCGATTGTGAGTATGTTTCACTGCATATTTCACATTTGAAACAACGCTCTTTGGCATGAGTGATCATGTGATTTTTTAAATTACATTTTCTTACGAATGTCTGATTACATATTTCACATTTAAAAGGGAGTTCTCCAGTATGAATATGCATGTGCATTGTCAAGACGCCAGAGTGTGAGAATGTTTTACTGCATATTTCACATTTGAAAGGGCGTTCTCCTGTATGAATACGCATGTGCCTTTTCAAGTCACCCGAATATGAGTATGTTTTACTACATATTTCACATTTGAAACGACGCTCTTTGGTATGAGTGATCATGTGTGATTTCAGATTACATTTTCGTGGGAATGTCTGATTACACATTTCACATTTGAAAGGACGCTCTTTAGAATGAGTGACCATGTGTGATTTCAGATTACATTTCAGTGAGAATGTCTGATTGCACATTTCACATTTGAAAGGACGGTCTTTGGTATGAGTGACCATGTGTGATTTCAAATCAGATTTTCGTAGGAATGTCTGATTGCATACTTCACATTTGAAAGGGCGCTCTCCTACATGAATAAGCAAATGTCTTCTCAAAGTGCTTTTTTCTTTGAACGTCTTACCACAGATTTTGCATTCGAAAGGGCGTTCTGTGTTATGAGTGATCATGTGATGTTGCAATTGTGATGAATATTTAAATGTCTTATCACTTGCATTGCATTTATTGTTACCCTTTTTGTCATTTATAGGTGTGTGGTCAACCGTGTGCTCTTTCAAATAATTAGATTCTGAAAATGATCTATTACAAATGTCATATTCATAACCGGGTGTCTCAATTAACTCCTGCTTGACTTCTTCCTCTATCGTCACTTCGGAATTCATAAATCTTTCCAGACAAGTTTCATCATCTTCTAAACATGATTCAGACTTAACAATACCTTCAAGATCATCAAATTCATTTTCAAGTTTAATGTCTTCCATTGAATATTCTGGGGGTTCAAGTTTAATTGTCTGATCATTCACAGACATAATCGTTGCTTCAGACATTTCCAGATATTTTCACTGCGTATATTCAATAAATATTGGTTAATACTATTTAATAATATTTTTTTAAAATATCTCAAATAATATAATGAATCTAACTATACCTACATTTGTTGTAGAAAATCTTCTAGCTGTTTAAAATCGGATACTTCTTTGCAAGGTTAGTCGTTCGGAATTAAAGTTGACATTTCGAGCATAGAGTATGTTTTGATAAAGATGCGTTCGGAAGGATTAGTTAGGGGTTCTATTGCAGTCGCAAATTTGGCGCTAGTGAGCATATTGTCAAATGTTTTATGCAGCTTTATGTTTACTTATCTATGTGTTGGTTACTAAAACGTTAGTATATTTTAGTGACAATTGACAACAGGGCCTTTTCACTTAGAACAAAATCCTCGTTCAGAAGGAATACTTAGGGGTCCATTTGTAGTCGCAGATTTGGCGCTAGTGAGCCGATGAAAAAGTATTTTCAAATGTTTTATATTGGTTACTAAGAAACGTCTGTGTTATTTTTGTATAAGTTTACAAAATGGCGATTCTTCTTCGTTTGTGTTTGTATATTTGTTAATAAAGATTTCATCAGGAATTGCTCTCAAATGCATAGCCCTTTGACAATATGAATAGAACAGCTTCAAACTCATATGGAGGACATAATTACTACAATACTACGTAGTGCATTGACATATTAGTCTAATCATAATACACTTTAAGGAAAGAGATCAGTTCTAGGAAATTGTGTAAGAAATCAAATATACGCTTCTACAAGAAAGACATAATACACAAATAGAAAGCTGTTCCAGCTGTTTAATATTGGATTACCACTTCACGCGGATCTGAATATACTTGGGAAAAAATCAAATTTTGCACGGGATGATTACTAGTTAATGAGAGTTAAGAATGACAGACGATGTAATGATCTAACACTATAATGCATTATTCACTAAATTTCACTAAATATTTATATTAATAAGTAGAAAAAAGTGCAGAAGTTATTCCAGTAGATTAGATGTGATATCTATTATATATAAACCGGTGTATTGCAGTGTATTTGTTGATTTATATTTCGATTTGATTGTATATTTATTATAATATAATATTATCTAGTATATTTTTGTTATTATTGTATCATTACAAAACATAATAGGATTGTAATACCGAATTTAGTTTCAAATACCCGTGTATTAAAATTCATTAATTTTCATTTCAAATTTTGCGCCATTAATTTGAGTGCCAAAAGCAGCGCCACCACGTCGAGCGGAGGACCCTTTAAGTATTCCTTCTGAACGTAAAAATCGGGCGAGAGAAGCATCTATATGAATACGGGGTATTCTAATATTGTCTAGGATTGACAAATTGTGATTTTTCTGTTCTGTTTGTGTTTGTACATTTGTTAATAAAGATTTCCCGTAGCGTCAGCTGTAGTAATAGCAAAAAAATCGAAAATGAAAATGTTTATTTAATTTTACGTTTGTAAGGTTTTTGAACATTTTGGCATATCTTAGAAAAAAACGGATGTATGTGCGTATGGGATTATGTGTATTTGTGTATGTGTGTTTGTGCGGATACAAATTTTCGTCGAGTATTTCGGGAACACCGATCAACCGATTTGAATAATTCGATTCGTATTGATAAGGAGACGTGCTGATTACTGTTTGGTGAAGGCAGGTCTAGCTGTTTTGAAGATACGGGGCAAAAAGTGCCAAAAACGGTAACTTAGTTTTTAAGAGAACAGAGCGTCCGATTTTAATAATTCAAAAATCATTTTACTTACATGAACAACTGATTAAATTTTTAAGAAGGCAGGTTCAGCGGCTATGGACTTTCAATAAAAATAAGTTAAAAAAATGTCATTTGGTGGTTAAAAATGTTTATTGGACATATGTACATCAAATTATTAGATATTTTATAGAGATTTTAATTTACGTACCAAATTTACCTTAAGGCACTGTTCGCGCCAATCAAAGCATGCGGCTATATTGATATATAAACAAAAAATCATCTATCAAAAAATTATACAAATAAATCAATCAATCAGATCGTAATCAAAAACAGTATTAAAGTTATTGTAAATACACTTATAACTTGTCATTAATACAAAATAAATATATACAGTTATCAATTAAGTGTTTTACATATGGTCCTTCGAAAAGTAAATTCAAATTCAGTCAAAACAAGATCCTAAAAAACAGGCACAATAGAACAGCTTCAAATTCAGATAAGGACATAATTACTACCATATACTCTTCTTTTATCTATGGGCCGATCGTCGCACAAAACTACCCGTAGGGTAAGTCAAGTTATAGTAACCGCAAACAAATCGAAAATGAAAATTTTTGAATATCTTTACGTTTCTAAAGTTTTTGAACATTTTGGCATATATTACAAAAAAACAATGTATGTGGGTGTATGGGAGTATGTGTATTTGTGTATGTGTGTGTGCGGATACAAATTTTCGTTGACTATTTCGGGAACACCGAACAACCGATTTGAATAATTCAAAAAATATTCGATTCGTATTGATAAGGAGACGTGCTGATTAGTTTTTGGCAAAAGCAGACTAAGCCGTTTTGAAGATACGGGGCAAAAAGAACTAAAAATATAACCTAGTTTTTAAGAGAACGGAGCGTCCGATTTTAATAATTCAAAAAACATTTTACTTGTATTGACAAGATGAACAACTTATTAAATTTTTGGGAAGACAGGTTCAGCGGCTATGGACTCTTAATAAAAATAAGTTAAAAAAATTTCGTGGTCAAAAATGTTTATTGGACATATGTACATCAAATTATTAGATATTTTATAGAGATTTTAATAATGTGTACACATTTTGTGCGAATGGGTTCCGTACCAAATTTACCTTAAGGGACGATGCCATGCACCCCACTAGTTAAGAATTGCTATCAAAGGCATAGTTTTTTTAACGAAATGAATAGAACAGCTTCAAATTCAGATAAGGACATAATTACTACCATATACTCTTCTTTTATCTAAATGCCGATCATCGCAAAAACTAAGAAACAATAAATCTCATAGGGATACATCAAACGGCTTTTAAATTTTTGAAATCGGTTCAGGTTTTTGAGCAAACGTCGATGAATGGTCTAATTTTAACAAATGCCAAAAAAACGGTACCAATTTTTGCAAACTTTGACGATATTTTAAAATTAAACGGTTGTCGTAGGGCCGTAATATTTTAGTATGATCCATAAGACTATGGTATCTACCGTCAAAAAAAATCATAAAAGTCATTGAAAAAAAAATTATTAACACTATTACAAGAAAACGGCCCTGCCGATCTTTACCAGAAACTAATCAGGTCGTTTCCCAACTAATATCCATTATGTTTACTTATATATGCCAATATCTTTCGAACGATTTTTGAATTTTCAACATCGATTCAGAATTGCGGGCTAAAACGTAGACGATTTTTTTTCACTTTTCTGCTATTTACAAAGAAACGGTTAGCCGACCATCAAAATTGCTAAATGATAGTCCTCATCGAGATGCATCAAATGACTTTTAAATTTTTGAAACTGGACCAGCCGTTTTTGAGAAAACGTCAATTTACGGCAAAAAATCTGTTCACACACACGCACACATATATTTTTTCCAAATTTGGTTTCATTGGATTCAGAATGGCTTGAAACGCCGAGAAAACGCAAAATTAGCGAATCGGATTTTTTTTATGAAAACATAAACTTCTCTCTCGGGAAGTTCAACAAAATAAAAATTTATATCTCAAAGGTGGTAAGTGTCTCGTCTTCTTCTTTATAAAAATATATTCTATGCTTCAAATGTCAAGCTACTAAAACGTTTTCATTTTCTATAACAAAAACAAATGTGAATTTAGTTATTATTCAAGAAGATTATTTATTGAAAATAGATTATTAAATAGTATGTAATTGTTAAATCCAATAATATTTGTTAAATATACGTAGTGATATTATATAAAAATGTCGGAAGCAACGATTATGTCTGTGAATGATCAGACAATCAAACTTGAACCACCAGAATATTCAATGGAAGACGTTAAACGTGAAACTGATGATAAATTTAATTATGTAGATGTTATTGTGAAGTCTGAATCGTGTCCTAAAAATGATGAAACATGTCTGGAAAGATTTATGAATTCCGAAGTGACGATAGAGGTAGAAGTCAAGCAGGAGTTAATCGAGACACCCACTGATGAACATGACATTTGTAATAAATCATTTTCTGAATCGAATGATTCAAAAGAGCACATGGTAGATCACAAACTCAGTTGTAACGAAGAAAGCATCCATAAGTGTGATATATGTCATAAATCATTTAAACAAAGTTCAATTTTGGCAACGCACATGGTTCAACATAGCACAGAGCTTCCTTTCAAATGCCAAATATGCTTTAAGACATTCATTCGAAAAAAAAATTTGAAAATTCACATGCCTATTCATACAGGAGAGCGCCCTTTCAAATGTGCAATATGCAATAAGACATTCATTCGAAAAAGAGGTTTGAAAAATCACATGTTTGTTCATACAGAACAGCGCCCTTTCAAATGTGAAATATGTTATAAAACATTTGCTCAATCATATACTCTGAAAACCCACATGATCACTCATTCCAATGAGCGACCTTTCAAATGTGACATATGCAATCAGACATTTCCACAAAAATCTAATCTGAAATCACACATGGTCACTCATACCACAGACCGTCCTTTCAAATGTGAAATGTGTGATCAGACATTTCCACGAAAATGTAGTGTGAGACTACACATGATGACTCATACCAAAGACCGTCCGTTCAAATGTGAAATATGCCATCAGACATTCACACGAAAATATCATATGGAATCCCACATGCTCACTCATACCAGAGAGCGACCTTTCAAATGTGAAATTTGCAATAAGACATTTCTACAAGAATTTAGTCTGAAATCACACATGGTCACTCATACCAAAGATCATCCTTTCAAATGTGATATATGTAATCAGGCATTTGCAAGAAAATATAATTTAAAAAATCATATGATCACTCATACCAAAGATCGTCCTTTCAAATGTGATATATGTAATCAGGCATTCGCAAGAAAAAATAATTTAAAAAATCACATGATCACTCATACCAAAGAGCGTGCTTTCAAATGTGCAATATGCAGTAAAACATTTACACAATCGGACTACTTGACAACGCACATGCGTATTCATACAGGAAAAGGCCTTTTCAAATGTGATACATGCAATAAGGATTTTGTGCGAAAGAGCACCTTGAGGAGACACAAGTTGAATATTCATAGTGGGGAACATGATGAAGATCAATGAAATATTAACTAGCAGAAACTAACCATGCGTGAAATAGTGTTCAACATCTATGAATTACTTATTGTAAATTTTATTACTACTATACAAATATATTAAACTATGAATAATTTTATATAAATAGTTTCTGTCTATGTAATAAATATAAGTTAAACTAGTGGGGTGTATGGCATCGTGACTTAAGGCAAATTGCAGGAACTTCCTGTATCGTAACGAAAAGTTTGAGGAATACTGAATGTTTTCAAATAGATTATTATAAATATTGTAACATTGTCTAATATTTATGAGAATTATATAAACTGAAAGTTAAAATTATTTGTGTAAAGTATATTAGAACTTTAGTCAGATTTAAAAATAAAATCTAAATTATTTTCGATGTACAAAAAAACCTAAAAAAAAAAAATACATTTTTTTTTTCTAAAATCAATTATTTTGTTATAACAAGCTGAAAGTTCTTTGAATCATTTCAATTGGACGCTTAGTTCTCTCAAAAACTGCCATTATTTGCACATTCAGCTCTGTACCTTCGAAATGGCTGGGCCTGCCATTGCCAAAAACTAATAATCACTTCTCCCAATCATTACTAATTGAATGTTTTTTAGATCATTCAAATCGGATGCTCCGTTCACTCAAAAACTCGATTTCTATTTTCTGCACTCTTTGCTCCGTATCTAACGGCTGGACCTGCCTTTGCCAAAAACTAATCAACACATCTCCCTATCAATAGGAATCGATTGTTGTTTGAACCATTCAAATCGGTTGATCCGTGCGCCCGAAAACGTGGACGAAAAATTGTATCCATACATACATACACACACACACATCCATTTTTTCTGAGGTATGCCAAAATGTTCAGAAACCTTCAAAACGTCGAGAAATGTAAAAAATTTCGGTTTTCGGCCCATTACAATAACTTACCCTACGGGAAGTTAAAAAATGTCATTTGGCGGTCAAAAATGTTTATTGAACATTATGTACATTAAATTATTATTATTAGATATTTTATAGAGATTTTATAAAATCTCTATTTTATAATATCATTATTATAATAATGTGTATACAATTTGTGTAAATTTGTTTGGGTTTTGTACCAATATTTTTAACTTCCCGTAGGGTAGTTATAGTAATGTGCCGAAAATCGGAAATGAAAATTTTTGCATATCTTCACGTTTTGAAGGTTTCTGAACGGCATACCTAAAAAAAATGGATGTGTGTGTGTTTATGTATGTATGGATACAATTTTTCGTCCACGTTTTCGGACGCACGGATCAACCAATTTGCATGGTTCAAAAAACATTCGATTCCTATTGATAGGGAGATGTGCTGATTAGTTTATGGCAAAGGCAGGTCCAGCTGTTACGGAGATATGGAGCAAAGAATACCGAAAATAGTAATCGAGTTTTTGATAGATCGGAGCATCCGATTTGAATGATCCAAAAAACATTCAATTCGTAATGACGGGCAGAAAGGGTGATTAGTTTTTGGCAAAGGCAGGTCCAGCGGTTTCAGAGATACAGAGATAAATGTGCAAAAAATGGCAGTTTTTGAGAGAACTAAACGTCCGATTTGAATATGGTTCAAATAAAAGTTTGTTTGTTTTAACAAAATAATTGATTTTAGAAAAAAAAAAATTGTATCAAATTTTTTTTTTTCGTATATCGAAAATAATTCAGATTTTACTTTTAATTCTGACTAAAGTTCTTATATACTTTAAACAAATAATTTCAACTTTGCAATTCAGTTATTATAATTCTTATAAATATTAGACAATGTTACAATATTTATAATAATCTAGATTATTATTGAATTAAATTGAAGTAAAACTTTATTGCTATTGTACGAGATACCATTTAAGTGAAAAACTAGTGAGGTGTATGGCATCGTGCCTAAAGCAAATTGCTGGAACTTCCCGTACCGTAACGAAATGTTCGAGGAATATTGAATGTTTTCAAATAGTAACAAGAAGATAAAATGGCCCCGTAAGTATACATACAACTTATATATTTATGTACATATAGAATTTTGTATGTTAAGTAATTAATTACTTAACCTTCATTGGGCCTTGTTAATTTATTCACAGCATAATGAAAAGTTTTGCTGTTGTTCGGACCTCTAAGTACATAATGGAGGTTCCTTCCAAATGGCTGATAGTAGAAAATAGTGATTCTGAAAACATAACTGAAGTGTGGTGGCCCCCTGCCCGTATGAAATATCGCATTTCCTCTTTAGCTGCGAAGCAAACGTCAGTGAACAAGTCGGAGTGGATTAAAAGAAAAATAACTTTTGTCGGGTTTTATGGTGAGAATTAAGTTTTAAATATGAAGTATTGAAGTGTTGGAAGCTTTCTTAACTTCGATATTTGTTCTAGACACATATATGTCAGCAAGGAAGCACGCCGATGATTCGGAATATACTTCGCAAGAGGAATTAGGCAAGGGGCATAGGAAAAGAAAGGCTGCATCAGTTTTGTCGGAATCAGAAAGCGACACCTCTGATAGTGAAGGTAATAAATTACTACATTTTCAAAATATTTTTTATATAATATTTTTATATTATTATAATGTACAGATGAAGCTGTAGCAGGGCTTCGATCCTGACCTCGTTGACTGGAAGCTATTGAGATCCAATTCCGGCCTCAACGTAAGAGGTAAGTTTATAAAAAAAAATCGTGATCCTATAAAATATTATATATTTTTAAACAAATTTGTTCTTAATGCAGCTACTACGGGCGGATGTGTGGCTGAAGGTCCATCGAATAGAGTGGCTGAAGGTCCATCGAATAGAGTGGCTGAAGGTCCATCGAATGGAGTGGCTGAAGGTCCATCGAATGGAGTGGCTGAAGGTCCATCGCATGGAGTAGCTGAAGGTCCATCGCATGGAGTAGCTGAAGGTCCATCGCATGGAGTGGCTGAAGCTCCAATGCATGGAGCGGAAGCTATTCCAATGCATGGAGCGGAAGCTATTCCAATGCATGGAGCGGAAGCTATTCCAATGCATGGAGCAGAAGCTGTTCCAATGCATGGAGTGGAAGCTCTTCCAAGCAGAGGACAGGAAGCTGCTTGCAATTGCCATTTTTCTGAAGAAGTACAGATGCTCAGAGAGCGTTTCTCGATTATTGAATGTGAGTAAAATGTAACTCATTGTTTATGATGTTTTCCTAACATCCATTTCTGTTACAGCTCTCCTTAGAGTTTCCTTGCCAGGTATTGACTGCAACATGGCTAGCATGAACAAAATAATGCAGGATTGGGACAGACCAAGACAATCTGATTTTGATTTATCAAAAACAAACACTTTTGATTTCATTCTTCCTCTTTCTACTGTAGAGGACCTACATTCATTGGAGGCGAGGTTAAGAGATAATGAAGAGTTATGAATATGTAGGTTCGACTGCAAATTTATTAATGATTTCTGTATGTACTCATGTTTTTATTCATGATTGTTTTAGAAAACATTTATCGCCAGGATTGGTGGGAAGACGGGCGAAGGACATCTGAGTGATGTTCTTAAAAGACTCATGAGAAACAATTTAGCAATGAGATGTTCCTGGTACGGAAAGAAGGGAAATCTTCCATTGCATGAAACACGGTTAATCACATTATTAAGAAGTGAGTATTCATATTTATATACTAGTTTGAATTTGATTAATTTCT